ACACCATTTTCATTGCTTTCCTCTTTGGATTTGAAGCCGTAAACTGTTCGCATTGTGACAGCAATGTTTTGATCCAAGTTGCAGAGGAAATATAGGCCGGTTGGGCAGGCCGTACCTGTGTTTCGTAGGGCCTGAGGAGAAAATCAGAAGTTGGGCTCCTAAGTCATGGCAAACAATCTACAAAGGGAAGATATATAGAATAACAACTACAAGCATTCTGACAAAATTCAAAGAAGTTGGCTTGACTAGAAATGGAAGAATATATAGGATAATATAAACATCTACAAATAAAGTGCAAAATGATGGCATGAAATCAAACAAAATGAATAAACTATAGCTCCAACTGAGAACAATGTGCATACAGAATATCATTAGTCAGCAAAGAGCAAAATATCATGCCCGCAGGTATATTCTCTGCCTAAACCTTCCAAAATATTTTCAACTACTCGTAAACAGTAACAAGCCGTCAACACGTTAAATAAACCCAGGAAGATAGAACAAACTGAAGCAAAACCAAATCTACCAACACTTCGCAAATTAAAAGAACAAAAAAAAATAATCTCAAACTCCGCCTTTTATCTGCATTTATCTTCTTACTTAACCTTGTCAATTTATTCAACGACCGACTGCAGAGAACACTAAAATGTGATTGCTCAGAAATCAGAATGTTCTTAACTTAATGATGTGAAATAGCAGCACATCTATAAAGAAGTGGACAATACCAGGTGGTGGAACAGCAGTAACTGCATTACACAATGCACAGCTAACATTTGTAGCTCCTGTGGGATAGAAGAGGACAGTCCTACACCCATTGCACACTACTTGGCTCTACTTATCTGCAAAACCCAAAATTTAGAACAGACGACTCATAGGAACAACTGAAACTCCCTATTCTTTTCCAATTCATTCACATCAAATTTCTACATTCAGTAATTTCACATGATCGCAAAAGGACGGACAAACCATATAAACAACATAAATTAACAAACAATTTAAATCCTCCAACGTATCAAATTAATTCAATTCCGTACAAAAAAATGCACAAAAAACAACCTTTTACTAATTTGACCCATTAAACAAATCCAAGAAAAACCCATGGAAATTACATTCACAACTGAAACAAGAAAATATTAGATTTTATAAAGAAAATTCACCAATCTTTTCAACCCAGGAAAGTGAAAGAAAGAAGAAAAAGAAATGTAGATTTTAGACATACCCAAACGCCAAAATGGTATGGAAATTGAAATTGATTATCCAATCACAGCGCATGATAAAAGATAGCCAAAAATCAAGATTTAGGCTATTTATTCTAATGAATTTCAGGGAATTAATATAGCTATACCCTTCACTCTCATGGTCTATAACTGTAAAAGTCTCTATGAAAAATCAACCATTAATACAGGAACAACACTTTTCAAACTTATCCTCACACATATATAAAGATTATTAAACTGCAATCCAAAAAAATGGATACACTTCAAGATTTTGCAATAAATAAAACAAAGAACCCAATTTGAATCTCACCCGAAAAACAAGAAAATGAATATTAAAAACACAAGATTAAATGACTTACTAGAAGAGGGGATAAGGAAAATAGACTTCAAGAAGATTAAACGGGAATCGCCGGTCGGATTTTGGAGAAGTTGCTGCAGATCTAGGTTTTGATTTATCGCAATTATGGGAGATCTCGAAGGTTTGAAGCTAATTAGTGAATTTAAAAAAAAAAAAACAAATATTCTTGAGGAAATTACACAAATCCAAGTAGTTAAAAAGATTGGTTTTCAAAAATCAGGTTTAAAGTTTACGTATTCAATAATCAGGTAATAATTTCATATTTTAATAATTACAATAATATTAAAAATTTAAAACCCTAATTTATCATTTCTTCTCCCTCCTGTATCTCTATCTCATCTTTCTTTTCTTTTCCCTCGTCTTTCTCTATTTCTCTATTCTTTCCTCCATCGTCGCCACGCCGTGATGTGTCATCGGTATCAGTCAGCGCAATGCTACTGCTAAAGTTAGCGTCAATCGACTGCAGCGTCATGATGCTGCCATTCACAACAGCGTCTTCGGCGCTCCGCTTGGTCTCAGACGACTTATCACGACGCAGCGACGGCGGGCGGCTTTACAGATCCATTATTCTTTTTCTTCATCTTTTTTTTGATACAGTTGGGTGTGGTTGTGAACTGGTGGCTATGGCGGAGGTTTTGGTGAGGTCGTCCTCTTCCTGCGAGCGGCGCCGCAGACATGATGATGGTAGCTAGGATCTGTTCGAACGACGGCTGATTACGCCCAAAGTGTTACGC